CAGGGACACAGTGGGAACTTGCAGGTCAGATGAGCCACAAGAGATAGACTCCAGGAACCCTGACACCTAGTTCCCTCCCAGAGCCAAGAACAGAAGCCAGGAATCCTGACTCCCACCCAGTGCTGTAGCATTATCCAGATCATCCGGCACTAGCCTGGCAACCTCAGTAATAATAAAACCTAACTCTTATACAGCATTTTTCCTCGGTAGATCTCAAAGCACATCACAAACGAGATAAGTAGCATTATCCCCATTTTATAGATGGGGAAACTGAGATGCAGGACAGCACCGTGACTTGCCCCAGGGTCAGCCAGCCGACCAGCGGCAGAGAAGGTGTGACCTGAATAGTAGTATCGCTCCAGAACTCTCTTTTCCTGCTTCACTCTCCTAGTCTCTCTCTTTTCATTGTTGATCTCACTCCAGAAGAAGCGAGGGTGAAACACGCACTGTTATTTTACAACATTCCCTCGCTGCAGTGTAATCCTGAGGGATTAGCCCAGGACTACTCACATCAGGGGATTAAAACCTGACACTCAGTTGACAATGTATGTTCTGACCTAAAACCACTGGAGAATGTTCCCCCGCCTGGTGTCTGTTTAATCTGCCAGCTTTTGAACAAGGGAGTGAGTGATGTGTCCCCTTCACACCAGAAAGAGCTCTGAACATCAAGTAAACCCCTTTATCTGCACACACCTAACCTTGGCAAGAGGCTGCATTCAAATCTGGCGACACAGTTTGCAGCTCGGCGCTTGATGCTTAAGGCGGGTGGGCACGGCCTGTTGGCCTGCACCGTGGGCACCTTCTGGGACCATGAAGGAATTGTAGGTTGTGAGGAATTGTAGGTTGTGTGGCGTTTTTGACAGGCAGGGGATAGGCAATGCAGAAGAACCGCAGAGTCGATAGATGGACGTGCACCCGACAACGGCAGGTGGCTTGATGTGCACACATACGGCAATCGAGGCATGTGTACACGTACATGGCACTAGATAGATGTAGGCACGTATTTGGCAACAGACGGACGCATACACTCGTGGCAACAGATACACGTCCCTATGGTGACAGAAAGACAGGTTAGCTAACCATGGGCACAATCCAAACACCACACTGCCCAGGGCTTTCAGCCTTCTCTGAGGCACTCTGCGTGTTCATGTTCTTGGGTGAGCAACGGAGCTAAGCCAAAAGGCAGGGCTAAGGTCTCAGGCATTAGCACAGAGGAGGGTGGTGTCCTCGTTTCCTGGCTCTTCTGGCTCCCGTTCAAGTGTGATGTCAGCAGCAGCGTGGCTGGTTTGTAAACAGCTCCTTCCTCGTGGGCTACGCCCCTGTCAAGGTTCCTCCCCCACTCTGAACTCTAGGGTACAGATGTGGGGACCTGCATGAAAAAACCCCCTAAGCTTATCTTTACCAGCTTAGGTCAAAACTTCCCCAAGGTACAAAATATTACACCCGTTATCCTTGGAATGGCCGCTACCACCACCAAACTAATACTGGTTACTGGGGAAGAGCTGTTTGGACGCGTCTTTCCCCCCAAAATACTTCCCCAAAACCTTGCACCCCACTTCCTGGACAAGGTTTGGTAAAGAGCCTCACCAATTTGCCTAGGTGACTACAGACCCAGACCCTTGGATCTTAAGAACAATGAACAATCCTCCCAACACTTGCACCCCCCCTTTCCTGGGAAATGTTGGATAAAAAGCCTCACCAATTTGCATAGGTGACCACAGACCCAAACCCTTGGATCTGAGAACAATGAAAAAGCATTCCGTTTTTACAAGAAGACTTTTAATAAAAAAAAGAAGTAAATAGAAATAAAGAAATCCCCCCTGTAAAATCAGGATGGTAGATATCTTACAGGGTAATTAGATTCAAAAACATAGAGAACCCCTCTAGGCAAAACCTTAAGTTACAAAAAAGATACACAGACAGAAATAGTTATTCTATTCAGCACAATGCTTTTCTCAGCCATTTAAAGAAATCATAATCTAACACATACCTAGCTAGATTACTTACTAAAAGTTCTAAGACTCCATTCCTGTTCTGTCCCTGGCAAGAAGCAGCACACAGACAGACCCTTTGTTCCTCTCCCTCCTCCCAGCTTTTGAAAGTATCTTGTCTCCTCATTGGTCATTTTGGTCAGGTGCCAGCGAGGTTACCTTTAGCTTCTTAACCCTTTACAGGTGAGAGGAGCTTTCCCCTGGCCAGGAGGGATTTCAAAGGGGTTTACCCTTCCCTTTATTTTTATGACAGCCCCCCACTAGTCCTGACATGGTTCCAGAAAACAGGACACCGACAGCTTCTCACTAGGCCTGCTCCCTCCGGATTGAGGTCCTGCCTCGAGCCATGGACAAGGTCTGGTGTTTCCGGGAGGGAGAGCAGGAGGAAGGCTCAGACATATGTAACCAGCAAAACTGGTTCCTAAAGCCTAGTAGTCTACACGGGAGAACTTTTAAGGTGTAATGAAAGGGTGGAGTTAAACCGATATGGTTATTCAGTTATAAGAGTGCCTGGTTTTGGTTTAATTTATGTTGCATGGGAAGGTGTTTAAGCCAAATCATAAAAAAGCTACTCTGATACTAGAATAAGAGTGTCCACACAGGCCCCTATATGGGTATAGCTAGACCTGGATCACTATATTGGTACCATAGGTAACCCTTCCCTGTGCAGACACTGTTTGGTCACCGAGTGTGTGCGGTCCCTACACATGAATGCAAGATTAGACAGATGGGTATGGATTTAAATGGCTTCATAAATGGGTATATATGGGGGTGGGTATATAGTCTGGTTATATGTGGGCAGGGAAGCAGGGATAGATTCTGTCCATCCATTCCTCCGTCCCCAGACACACCCATCTATCGGTCCATTCATTCCTCCGTCCCCAGACACACCCATCTATCGGTCCATCCATTCCTCCATCCCCAGACACACCCATCTATCGGTCCATCCATTCCTCTGTCCCCAGACACACCCATCTATCGGTCCATCCATTCCTCCATCCCCAGACACACCCATCTATCGGTCCATCCATTCCTCCATCCCCACACACACCCATCTATCGGTCCATCCATTCCTCCATCCCCACACACACCCATCTATCTGGTTGCGACAAAGTTCCTCCTCTACCTTGGTGGGTCTTGCGCTTATTGACAGATTTGCTCGCCTTGGAGCTTCATGGCAGCCCTCAGTTTGGCCATTTTCATGAACCCACAGTCCAGGTTGACTCCTCCTGTGTCTGACCAGGAGTGGAGGATTTGGGGGGAACCCGGGCCCGCCCTCTACTCCGGGTTCCAGCCCAGGGCCCTGTGGCATGCAGCTGTCTAGAGTGCCTCCTGGAACATCTGTGTGACAGCTACAACTCCCTGGGCTACTTCCCCATGGCCTCCTCCCAACACCTTCTTTATCCTCACCATAGGACCTTCCTCCTGGTGTCTGATAATGCTTGTACTCCTCAGTCCTCCAACAGTCTGCATTCTCACTCTCAGCTCCTAGTGCCTCTTGCTCCCAGCTCCTCACACGTGCCACAAACTGAAGTGAGCTCCTTTTTAAACCCAGGTGCCATGATTAGCCTGCCTTAATTGATTCTAGCAGCTTCTTGATTGGCTGCAGGTGTTCTAATCAGCCTGTCTCTCTTAATTGTCTCAGAAGGTTCCTGATTGTTCTGGAACATTCCCTGTTACCTTTCCCAGGGAAAGGGAACCTACTTAACCTGGGGCTAATATATCTGCCTTCTATTATTCTCCTGTAGCCATCCGGCCCGACCCTGTCACGCCATCCATCCATTCCTCCGTCCCCAAACAAACCCATCTATTTCTATCTGAGTCCCCCTGGATTTGTACACATTTGAACAGTAGTGGTCTCTCTGAAAAACCATGTCTTGTTCCCTGCTAGAAGCAGGATCCCAATCCAGATGGAGCCATGTTCCGAACCACTATGGCAGGGCCGGTGAAAAGCGGCAGGTGTAGTGTTTGAAGCCAGCTAGTGCCGACCTGTCATGGATTTCTATCAGTTCGTAGCCTGCACTTCACCCAGCTCACAGGAGCTGGGCCCTAGCAGGCTGTGTGGGCTAATTGTTAAGGCCCCGGACTGGCAGCCAGGAAACCTGGCTTCTTGTCCCAGTTCGGCTACTGACCTGCTGTGTGACCTGGTGCGGGTCAATCCAGGTACAACTTTCCATGGTGACTTGGGAGTCTAAATAGCACTGAAAGTCAATGAGACCTTGGCTCCTAACTGCCTCTGGCCCATCTGAAATTGGGTCTACGCTTGGGCTTACGGGTGCACTGATATAACTGTCTTTTAGGGGAGTGATTTTTACCCAGATACTTACACCAGTAAAAGCCCCAGTGTGGACACAGTTATACCATAGTGTGGTACCTTACACACCCCATATGGGAACAACTATCCCTATACAGCCCCATGATCCTGATCCAGCAGCACGCTCATTACTAAGGGGCTGTGTAGCTTTCATGACCCTTTCTATTGTGCCAGGGCCTTCGGCTGCTAAATCACTTGGGACTTTCCATGCCTCAGTTTCCCTCTCTTTAAAATCAGGGCGTTGACCCACATTAGAGAGCTGAAGAGTAATTAGCACACGCCTGTAAAGAGCTTCTTCAGTAAGAAGGTCCTGTCAGGGCTGCTGTTTGCATCCCTCCCCGACAGACCGACCGGCCGAGCAGAGACCACGGGGAGACGGGAGGAGATTTCTACAGTTTAATGCAAAAGAATGGCAGAATGAACACTCCGGGGGGCCTGATCCTGCCACGGGTTACCCCAAGTGGGGGGAGGGGACATAACCAAGGGCAGGAGTCATGCCCGAGTCACCACGGCAGCAGGGGCACACGGGAAACCTGAGTGTTGAGGACAGTCGGACACGGAGGAGGGAGAGATTAAAAAAACAACAAATGGAAGAACAAACAAACAAACAAACCCCCATCTTGGGAGAAGAGAAAATACCCCTGTTAAAAACCAGCCCACCCCCCTCCCTGCCCTCCCCTGGGACACCAGTGTAAGGCTGCGTAATGTGCTGCCTCTCTGAGCCGGCAGCTCGGTGTGCGCGGGGACCTTGAGAACGCCTGCTGACAGCGTGAGCACACCGCCAGCCTCTGCAGGGGGGGCCTGGGAAAGACTTACGTCCTCTGTGAGCTGGGCACGCACTGACCAGGGGGTTATGGGAGCCTCTCACCCTCGCTTTGCTCTCCAAGGGCCTGGTTCTCACTTACCCCAGCTCCGCCTTTGGGGTTAAAGAGGCTTTACAACCCTCTTTGCACTCCCTGTATTACGAGCCTCGACTAGCCCTTGGTGTCAGTTACAGCAGCCTCTCGGCTGCTCTACCTCACACTCCAACCCCTTACAGGCCCTGGGACATGGAGAATAGCCACAGCACACTGCACTCCAGCCCCAGCCCCGATCTACCTGCCCCCCCGGGGGCAGATCCTTTTGTGTAACAGCCTTGCAAAGCCTCGCGTGGCTGCTCCACATAAAGGATAACAGCCTAAAACTGCTGCTGGCTCTGAAGGGCGTGATTCAAACCCTGACCCTCTGGCCGGGAAGGGGGCAGTGTGAGGGGCAAGGCTGGGGGAGCCCTGGGAGGTGGCTGGTTTCTGAGGAAAAGAAGCCAGCAGCAAGATCCCCTCCCAGTCTCTGTTTAGCCCTTTAAATCTGGGGGCGTGGAGGGAGGATCGTGTGTGTCTAGAAGGCAAACCCCCCGAAATCCAGCGCGTCGAAGTCCTGGTCCAGCCCTTCGTAATCCAGCGTCTCATACTGAGAGGCCTCAGAGTCGCAGGCGGACGGGTGATAGCCCAGTTCTTTGAAGTCGGGGGGGTGCATCTCCCCAGGCCGGCTGGCCGTGGCCGAGGTCACCATGTAGCCCATGGTGGGGCCAGCTGCTGCTCCCCCCATCAGCAGGCAAGCGGCCTTCACCCCCGCGTGCATCTGGGAGCCGTGGCGCAGGCACCGGGGCGAGCAGTTCTCCTTGCACAGGCTGCTCCTGGTGGCTGGGGCAGAAGTGGGGGGAGAAGGAGGGTCAGTCGCCCAGAGCCAAACCCTGGGCCCAGTTCTCTGTCAGCTCTAATGCACTGAATGGGGATTCAGGAGATCCTGGTTCAATTCCCAGCTCTGCCAGTGACCCAGTCACTTCCACATCTCTGTGTGCCTCGGTTTCCCCATCTATGTACCCTGGGAAGAATGAGCCTTCCTTTGTCTGATGGGACTGTGAGCTCTTTGGGTGGAGGCTGTCTCTGTACCTGCGCCGCACCCAACACAGTGGGGCCCAGGTCTGAGCTATCCTGGCATAACCCCATAGCGTAGATGCAGCCTTTGCCGGCGGAAGGGGTTTTCTGTCAGTGTAGGAACACCACGTTCCTGCATGCTAGGTCAATGCAAGCATTCTTCTGTAACCTCGCTGTGTCTACACTAGGGACTGGATGGGTGTAATTATATCAACCAAGGGTGGGATTTTTTCACCCCCCTGACCAAGGTAGATAGGTCAACCTGTTTTATGTGGAGACCAAGCCTCCGTTGGAGTCTTTAGGGCCTACTGTAATACTAACAATAGTGCAGCAACTCCTGATTTGCGCTGGATTGTGTCTACACAGCAGTGAAATTACTCTGGTACAAAAGGCTCTCACTTCGCACCTTTACACTAGGCTTAATTTGGTTTACTTTGAATTGATTAGGAACAGAACTAAGCTACGCCAAAATCAGAGCATCTACACTGAGGTCTGAACCAGTTTAACTCAACCAGCACAAGTCTGTGTGTAGACAAGGCCTGAGTGGGATCAGAACCAGGCCCCAAAGCTCATGAGGTGGCAAGAACCCACATCCATTCCTGCTTTTAACTACCCTGGAGTTTGGCGCTTCCCAGATGTCAAGGCCAGAGGGGACCACTGTGTTCACCTGGTCTGACCTCCTGCGTAATCCAGCCCAGAGAACCCCACCTGGTCCCATTAATGAGAGCTAAACCCAGGAGGGAATTTGCCCAGGAAGTCTAGCTCAGCGACGAAGGAGGGCATGAGCGCCATCGAGAGGCGTTAGCAGGGTATGAACCCCAAGGAGGAGCCAGCAGGGTGAAGCTGAGGGTCAAGGGGCACTGCCTGGCAGTGAGATGTGGCAGGCTGTGGAACTGCTGCCCTGCGATGAGGGTGGAAGCCCCGTTCACTGGCGCATTCAAACGACCTTGGGCAGGCTCCGGGGAGACAGACTGTAGAGGACAGTCATGCATTGGGCCGTCTCTGATCGAGTGTCTCGTCTCTTCTGGGCAGTGTTCTGGGGAATAGACTGTAGCAGGAGACCCTGCCTCCAGGACCTGGAGCAGGGTCCTGGTGGGAGTGCCCCAGATCCAGTTACAGGGAATCTGGGAACAAGCCTATCACGGTAGGTCTCTGGCACCAAGACAAATAGCCAAGAAAGCCAGAGCCCCTCCGAACCGGGTCCCAGTACCTTCTCTGCTCTGTGTGCCAGGAGAACCTCCTCCCCCTTCTTTCCAGCAGCATTTCCTAGACGGAGAGTCAATGTGGAGCTTGCATCTCGCTGGGGACCCTTGGGAGAAGCTCTGTGCAGAGGGAGGAAACACCATCACTGTGGGGACAGTGGGATGGACCATCCGAAGTGGGGAGATCAACCCAAGGCAGAGGCGGGACCCGTGGATGACATCCTGGCCCGGCTGATGTCAAGTGCAAAACTTCCATTGACTGCCAGGGTTTCACCCAAGGGCCCGATTACTCAAGGTGCTGAGCACCCATGATCCCCCCCGACCCTGGAAATCAGGCCCCAGGCATCTCAAGCTGGCAGCAAGAGCCAGTGACCACTTGTGAAAATGCAGCTGCCCGAGGCCATAGGGCAAAAGGAAACAATGGGCCCCATTTTCAGCTCCCCATCCCTGCATGGGGTGGGAGGGAGAGTCACAGGGAACTGGTCCCACCCCAGAGCGGCACAGAAGGACCTGGCTGTGACTGAGAATCAGGCCGAGAATAGCCCCAGGTCCAAACCGAAATTGCTCTCGGAGCAGAAGAGGTGGATGGGGCACTGGTGAATTGCAACAACGGAGCGGCTTCCTGGCCCTCCCGGCACTCCTCAGTCCGTTCACTAAGGCACCGAGAAACTGCCAGGGCCGGAAAGCCCACTGGTGCCTTTGCCTCCTTTCCCAATGGCCCCTGCGAGGGTGATGCCGACATGCTTAGCTGCTGCGAGCTGGCATGGCGGGCAGCCTGGCTACGGTGACTGATGGCAGCCGGGGACCTGGCCCTGTATTTCGTACTTTGATTCCACTTACTTCTTTGACTTTGCGGAGGATGTTGAGCCACTGTCTGCAGCGGTGGGGAGGGAGAGAAGGGAAAAGCCTGATTAGCCCCGACAGCCTAACAAGCCGGTCACTCCTCGCCAGCTCCACGTCTCCTGCTGTCTGGGGCCCAGGAGAGCAGGGCTCATTTCCCCCGTCTGCGGCCTCCTCCTGGGACATGCCACTACGTCTCCGGGCCATGGGCAGAACTCTCTCCCAGGGAGCAAGCAGCAAAGCTGGTCTAGCCAGGCAGGAGGCAAGCCGTTCGGGGAGCCATCCAGTGCCTCTCCCAGCAGCTGTGCGGATTTCAGCTCTCCCCATGCACCCTCACTGCCCCCAGCCCAGCCCGTGCCCTGGCCCCCTGCACGCCCCCCTTGGGGCAGCTCTGGCTTCACCTGCATTCCTGGTTGTCCGGGGCCAGCAGCAGAAGGAACTTCCCATCACTGAGGCTGAGGCCTAAGCAGCTGCCCCGCTGGGCGCCCAGGGGCAGGCGGGGCAGGCCGCAGATCTCGCTGCCCTCCAGGATGGCCCGGCAGCTGGTGCTGAGCGAGATGCCCAGCTCGGCCGGGGACTGGGCATCACGGCAGATCTGGAGGCTCCCGTCCACGGAGAGGAAGAGGAACTTCTCCTTCCATTGCTTAAAGAGAAAGCCCCCTGCAAAGCAGAGAGGGGCCACGTGAGTCCAAGTGCCGACTGCTCATCATCCTGCCTGGCAGCTGCGAGGGAAGGATTAGCCCCATCTCACAGCTGGGGAAGAACCCAGGAGTCCTGGCTCCCAGCCCCCCCGCTCTAATCCACCAGACCCCTCTCCCCTCCCAGAGCCAGGAATAGAACCCAGGAGTCCTGGCTCCCAGCCCCCCTGCTCTAATCCACCAGACCCCACTCCCCTCCCAGAGCCAGGAATAGAACCCAGGAGTCCTGGCTCCCAGCCCCCCTGCTCTAATCCACCAGACCCCACTCCCCTCCCAGAGCCAGGAATAGAACCCAGGAGTCCTGGCTCCCAGCCCCCCTGCTCTAATCCACCAGACCCCACTCTCTTCCCACAGGGGCAGAGATTCAGTGACTTGTCCAAGGCCACGTAGAGAGTCTGTGGCAGAGCCAGGAACCAACCTGTGTCCCCAGCTGGCACCCCACTACTAGACCCTCCACTGCTCTTCCTCTGGCACCAGCGTCTCGCTGCACAATAGTCTCCAGGGGCTGAACCTGGGCCCACCAGCTGCTCAGCCTGGGCGGGAGAGCCAGCCCCACCCGCAGGGAGCTGGGAGAGACTCCCAGGGCCTGACTCTCAGTCATGCTCAGGCCCCTCTGTGCTGCTCCAGCCCCGGACAGTACGCAGGATCGTCCCCCTGAGAGCCCTCCCACCCCACACAGGAGCCTCCCTGGCCAGAGTGGAGCTGGCGTAAGGGCCTGGCACCCATCCTGCTCCCAACCCCGGGCATAGGGGGCGGATCGGGGGTGTGGCTGGGGCGCACTGCGCTGGGGCTAGTCCCTGCTCCCCAGGGCCCATGGGGGGCGGATCAGGGGCGTGGCTGGGGCTAGTCCCTGCTCCCCAGGGCCCATGGGGGGGTGGATCGGGGCGTGACTGGGGCTAGTCCCTGCTCCCCAGGGCCCATGGGGGGATAGAGCATGAGTTAGAGCAGCCCTGAGGCTGGGACAACATTTTTTAAAAGTCCTACAATACCAAACCAGTGTAAACATCCCCAGTGCTCAGACCAATGACGCCTCAGTGTACAATCTCCATGGGGCTCATCAGCAACCCTACAATAACAAAGCCGCAGGGGGCCCTGCCGAGAGCAATCGTGCGAGCGCTGGTGTAATTAGTGCTGGTGAGCCCATTGCTGGTGCACGCACTTCTGCAAGCTTGCTGGGAGATTGGACGGGGTTCAGAGCCGTGCGAGGCTGAGTCGAGGTCTGTGAAACACCCAGAAACCATCTGCTTGGCGTATGGACTCCGTCCCAGCCTGTGGGTACATACACAGGGACGGCGACGCCTACATAACCAGAGCAAGAGCCGACGGCCGGGAAAACTCGCTGCGGGAAACGCGGGGGATTTTGTGGCACGGCTGGTGGAGCGGAAGGGGACACTGAGACCGGCCTGCCCCCAAACCGCTGCCTAGCCAGCGTCCAGGCTTTCGGTGCAGGAGCCGCGTTTGAAGGAGGCTGATGGATCTTGACAGGAGTCTTTGATCCAGGCCTGGGTCCCACCCCTCTAAAGAGCTGCCGTTCCCCGGTCTGCTGAAGGGAGAGTTAGGGGTCACCGGGGGGAGACTTAGCACAGCAAGCGGCAGTAAGGGACCCTGACACAAGTTCCGACGGCTTTCTGAACACCGGGCCCTTGGTGCCACCTGCCCCCGTGACTCTCCTGCGGTGCCTTAACCCACGGGAGCCTGGCGGGGTTGGAGTCACGGGCTGCAGCTTCCCAGAGCCGGGCACCAGGCAGATTTAAACCCCTGATTAAATTTGGTTGGCCATTTTGGGATTAGAATTCAATCAAGGGTTGGCGGTTCTAATCCCAGCCCACGTGGGGGGACACACAGACACAGGTAGCAGAGGGACAATGCTAAATCCCTGTGGTCAACTCGGACAAGGGAAGCAAGTGGGGATTGCTGAGGCCATCGGAAGAAAATGTAACCCTTTGGGGGCAGGTGAGATTGGTAGAAAAAAAAATAACTCCCCGGTTCGCCAGTGGACAGAGCCAGTTGGGAGCGAATGCCTCCGTGTGCTGCTGAAGTCTTCATTCGCCCACTCACTGGGCTCCTGATTTCATTAAGAACTGATTTCAATTTTCAAAGGCCAAAGTCATTTACCCTGCAAAGTTTGCCACAACTGTGATCCCTACCAGTTAGAGCTGGTCAAAATGTTTTTCATCAAAATATTTCTCAGGCGGAGGACAACGTGAATTGACATTTCAAAGAAAAATAAAAAATATTCAGTAAAAGTGCTTGGATTTGGGGGAAAAATAAGTTTTTGTTTTAAAAAAGAAGCTTTTGGTTAAAAAATAGCTTTCAGTTAAAAATTCAGGATTCGGTTTGTTGCAAAAAAGTCAGTTTTGATATAAACGGTCGAGACTCTGTGAAAACGTTCGTTTTTCCAGTGCGGTTTTCAAGTTCAAAACGTTTAGGGGTTTGGATTTCACAAAGTCACCACTGAGGAAAAGAAAAAACATTTTCCAACGTCCAGAGAACAAATCCTGGGGGTTCCCCAGCTGGCTCCGCTCCCAAAGGCTTTCGGGCCAGGTCCAAAGCCCCATTGGAACCCACAGACTTTGGACCAGCGCCTTGGCCCAGCTGCCGGGGGTGTTTGAACGAAGGGAGGATTGGGGGAAAGCTGGGAGCTGAAATCCCTTCTGGGCTGCCTGGGATTAGAATCGGGGCAGCTGAGTGGAAGGGGGTAGAACCGGACCTGAGGGTACCCGGCCATTCAAACAAGGGGTGACATTTTGCCAGGATACCCACTGTCACTAATGGGTTAGGTTGGAGATTCTCCTTCCTTCCCCAAATGGTGCCTAATTAATGACTGCCGCCAACAGCTCCAGAGTCCCTGGGCTGGGACTGCAGAATTGGTGCTGCTCCTAGGGTGCTATTCACACAGCAACTGCCAGATCCTGATCTGTTCCCCCCAGGTAAATCTGGAGTCACCCCCTGACTGCAATGGGCTCAGGGCCAGACTGTGAGCTCAGCTCCCCCCGGGGGTCAATCCAGAGTCACCCCCAGAATCCCAGAGCCGTTTCACTGCGGTCCGGATGCTTCTTCTCATTCCAGGCTTTTGATACGGGAAGACAAATCGCAACAGGAATCAAGGCAGCTACTGGGAGCGGGGACAGACCGACCCCCTGGGCCGGCGGTGAGGTGGGTGCTGGAGGTGCGGAAGGGAGGGGGCGCTCACCGTATTTCCTTAGGTAACCCTGATGAATTCTGGAGGAGCTCATGCTGGACCAAACCATCCATCAGACCGGCGAGCCAGGAAAGAGCCCGGGGCGGCCAGCTGCCAAGAGCCTTGATCAGAGGCCAAATCTAATCCCTAAAGCAGCTGGGGGAAGGCCAGGGATCTCATCCCTGCTGGCCAATCGCAGCTCACGCAGACAGCCGCTCCCCCAGTCCCCCAGCTGGGGGGTGGGGGCGTGTATCATGGGCCAGATCCACAGGGGTGTAAATAGAACTGGAGCAAAGGTGGTTCACACCATCAGGGGATCTGGCCCCAGTCGATGCATCCTTTTCACCTAGCTCTAGGGCCTTTAGCCCCCTGAGGCTGCAGCCAGTCCCTGGGTTGTTAGCGCTGCTACAAAACGCTATTCCCCCTGGGGGGAAAAGGGCCCCCAAACCAGCCCTGCCCTGGCTGGGCACCGCTCGCCAATCAGAGATCCCCAACGGGCAGGCCGGTCAAGGCGACGGGGTGTGAGGCCACAGGGAGAGAAGCCGCCAGGTCCAGACAGACTGTGACCAGCACCGCCTAGAGAGGGACAGTGTCCCAGCCCCGGCACCCAGTGCCCTGGCGCTGCAGAGGGTCCTGCCTTCTGTGGGCTCTGCTCTGGGTGCTCAGTTTCTCTGTGAAAATTCCTCACTGCTAAAATTGTTCTTTACTGGAAGGAAATTGTGAAATTCAAGGTGTTTGCTAAGAAAAAGCCAAAGATAAATATTGTTATTTACTGCACAGCTGGTGGAGGGAATGCAAAACATCTCCCAGGATTCCCATGAAACCAGGCCATTGTCAACAAACTATAAATGAAACCTAGGAATGACGGGGATCCATCAGGAATCCTTTCGCCTCAGGATCTCCTCTCTGGCAATGCCCAGTACAGGTCACTTGAGAGGAAGGTGAAAAAACCCTGTAGCAGAGATGAAAAACCTCTGCTTTTTGGGAGCTGTTAATTTCATTGCAAACATGTCGAATCTCTCCGACATCCTCTTTCCCCAGTGCTGCCGCTTAGATAAACCTCCTGGTCTGTGCTTTTCACACCCACTTCCCCAGATTGCCCGGTGCAGCATGACACAGGTACAAAAAATGTTTTTTTATTATTATAGCACCTGGAGGCCCAGACCGAGATTGGGGCCCTGTCGCACTGGGCGCTGCCCAGACCCCAGCCAAGATCAGGGCCCCGTCGTGCCAGGTGCTGCCCAGACCCCAGCCAAGATCAGGGCCCCGTCGTGCCAGGTGCTGCCCAGACCCCAAACGAGATCAGGGCCCCGTCGTGCCAGGTGCTGCCCAGACCCCAGCCAAGATCAGGGCCCCGTCGTGCCAGGTGCTGCCCAGACCCCAAACGAGATCAGGGCCCCGTCGTGCCAGGTGCTGCCCAGACCCCAACCGAGATCAGGGCCCTGTCGCGCCGGGCGCTGCCCAGACCCCCAGCGAGATCAGGGCCCCATCGCGTCAGGTGTTGCAGAGACACATAGCGAGAGACAATTCCTGCCCCCCAGATCTGATCGTTTAAACAGAGAAGGGAAGGGTTACTATCCGCAGCACAAGGCCTGATGTCATTTGCAGCCGTCAGCTGCTATTCTAATAAGGAGAGGTCAGAGCCACAGCTCCACTCAACTCCATTGACTTCCAGCTGATTGGGCGGCTCTGAACCTGACCTATAGGAGAGAGCAGAGATTCCCCCTCTCTGGCGGGAGGAATGAGTTTGCAGGGTCTCAGCCCAGTTCTTAGGATCCAGCCCGCTCCATTGCAGAAACACCCGCATCAACTGGTAGCACCAGAGGCCGAAGACCGAGCGTGCCACACGGTGAGAAAGCCCCCCTCCCCGCCCCCCACCCCTTAGAGGGGTCCCTGCAGAGCATGCGCACGGGAAAGAGCGAGCGCTCCCCTTGCAGCTGCCCCTCCTCTGGGGAGAGCACTCCTGAGCGCAGCTCCCAGCTGGTGCAAACGGCCAAGGGTCCGGCCCCAGTGAGCAGAGCCTGACGCATGCAGCCATGGAGTGACTCACCCCAGACCACTAAGGGCGCCTGGCCAGAGCCAGCAGCTGAACTCAGCTCTCTCCTGTCCCAGGCCACCGCTGGAACGACCCAGTCATCTTCGTGAAAAACTAAACAACTTGGAAATCCACAGACTGGGGGAAGCAAATAGCGATCGTATTAATAGGACCAAAAAATAAATAACCGAAGTCAAGAGGCAGGAAATTCCTTCCTGCTAAGACAACAGCCTCACGGCTGGGGAATGCAACTGAGCCGCTGGTGGGTTTTTTTCCATCTGACACAAACCAGCAGGACCGGCCAAGATTTCAGCCCTTCACAGACCCATAGCGAGGCGACAGGGGCTGAGTCTGTTCCTGCTGCATGGGGACGGCAGGGCACAAC